AGAGATGACACGCTTAGAAAACCACCTATGTGAAAGTGAAGTGTGGGCCGCTTCAAGGAGAATAATGGTTGGTCAGTTCTCTACGCTTTCATGAAACCAGACAGGTGTTCATGGCTGAAACGAACACAACAGTGAGAACCAAAGACGGTTAAGAATTAATTGTGTGGTTTAGATTGTCTTGGTATACATAAGAAACCGACGGTTCAAAGATATCGCATCTACCGATTGGTGAGTATATCCGATTTAAATCCACTATGGAAAGTTCAAAGGGAAACCTACTTATCCAAATGCAATTACTTCTTCATAGTTGAATCACAAAGGTTGCATGGTTTTAAAGAGTTTTCTAAAATTCTCCATTCATGTGGGGGATTGTTGGAGTTTTTTTTAATTAAATGAAAGGAGATATTTTTGTATGTTATAATTCTCCATATTTATGGTTTTAAAAAAACTTAAAAAATTGTATTTATGGTTTTTTGGAAGTTTTACAAGTTTCAAATCCTATAAATAGGAGACTTTGTTTTCATTTTTCACAACAACAAGAACACCAAGAAAAACAAACAAGAGTTTTCTAAACAAAAGAAAACACATATTTTCTCTTTGTGATTCAAACCGTTCTTTGAGTTCGACAAGGCACCGGAGTTTGAAGTACCACTGTTCCGGTGAGGTACGTCCGTCCTATCCTGGGAGGATATATTCCATTTAACCGTAGGTACCGCGCGGGGAATAATTTCCTTAAGGAGACACGGTTCGCCTGGGTTCGGATTTGGTTTTCCGGTTTTAAAATCATATTGATATAATGATGTTGGTTTGAACATAACTTTCTATACCGTTATCGGAATTGCATGTTCTTGACGTCTTTCATAGATATCGAAATTATCTTTTTAATGATGTATGATATGCATGATGTGGATATATATTTTGAAAGTTATTAAGCTCGAATTTCTTGGTATGGAATTGGAAGTTAATAAAGCATGAATATGAGACATATAAAATAACACACCCAACATACATATATATAGATATTGATGATTGAATAAACCTTCAATATATATATATGAATGTTACCGGAAAACTGTAAAAAAGTAAAGGTGGCATGTGGGTTGGATCCACAAACTCAAAACATGACTAAGATTTTATAAGGTGGTTTTGCAAATCAAAATCGGCAATTGGATTCGAGAGCCATGTGACGCTATATACACATATGCATGATGCGTCTGCACAATAATATATTTACTTTCCAGCGAATACCAAAATATGCGTCATCTGACGTCAAAAATAATTTGGCCGTACGCTATGTTCTCGAAGAGTATCTGAGTTCCGCTGATGCTTCATTATTTTAATTAGCGCCTATGTTTTTTTTAAATAAATGTGTTAATCTCAGACATAAATCAATTTGTTTAGAGCATCTTTCACGTGGTTTTGTCCTCTAGACCTTTCATCTTTGTATCATTGGTTTCGGATGATGATTAACCATATAAAACTATGCTGATTTTAATATTAAGAGGAATCTTCTTGAACAATATATAATTAAAAACATACGAATAATATGAGTGTTTTTCTTCTATCTCTCAACAAGTTAGTTATATTCATGGATTTTGGAATTTAATTGGAGTCATTAATTATAGATGGGTTCCATCAATAATATATATCAAAACCTACGTACCGATCTTGGGACGTAGAGATAACGCGACAAGAAATGAATGGTCGGGAGAAGAGCACAAGGGTGTGTAGTCGTCCGAGATATAGCAGTCGCCAACACATTGGTAGTCGTTGTTTAAAAGAACGTACGGTGTTGTTAGAGTTTCATATCGATTATATGTAAGAAAAATTAAGTATTTATATGAATACCCTCATCAACAAGTTAGTTTTTGGGGTGAATTATATCCATGAGTTTTAGGATTTAATTAAACTAGTTATGGGTGGATTCTACCAAAAGTCCAAACTATTATGATGTAAAGATATCCGACACAATTTGGCTAGTAATAAAACGAATTCAACATGTTTATCTCGTGGGTCTCACAATTTTAATTAATTTTTCTAAAAAACATCTTTGTTTATATATTTTAAAATAGCACGATTGATAATAATTAACATTTGTTGGGCCAATCTTTTATACACTTTACATGTTTCCTCAGCTTTATAATTGCCTTTGAATGATATTTATCCACGTGGATGTGGGGCGAAATTTTCTCATAATGGGAAATAAAGAAGGAGAAGCGGAAAATTCAAGATGACGCTGTCGGAAGAGGCCCCTAACAAAAGCAATTTTTTCCTTATTCATTGAAAGATATTCGATGCATGTCCAAAGTATCTAACCAAATCTATATGATAAAATGAGTACAATTCTATATATATAACCATGAAGATATCATATATAAAAATTTCACTATACAACAGAAGGTAAGGATTAATTCCTTGTATGATATAGTTTTGAAAATTGTACATCGACCTCTTTTCCGTACTGCATAATATATGATCAGGATTAATTCCTTGCATCAATTAATTTATTTCCTTGACCAAGTTTTTATGACAATGATTCTACCTAGGTGTAAGGTTCAATACACACATACGTGTATGATGTTAGATTTGAGTTTATTTCATAGAATCAAAACGGGTCTAAACTATGAGAAACCTGATACATGGAAGATTCTAGAAAATTTCATGGAAAAACTGCAGATTAATAAAAGAATATTCTTAATTGATTGCAAAATCAAATCGTAATAAAATCTGCATAAAACCCTTGATTATGGTAAGTATCGTAATATCAAATTGAAATTCGACTGATTCTACACATTAATATGATATGCTCCCTACGGGTATAAATAGAGGTCTTGATTAGATCATTTTATACACCACAAGAAAACAAAGCATTTTGTAAGAGAAAAGAGCATTCGTATCTCTCATATCTCTCTCTGAATTCGCTTGGTATTCGGGAAAGTTTCTTCCGAATATGCGGTCGTTGTATCCTGAGAGTTCACCGTGTTCCAATAACTTCGAAGTTTTAGGGGTAAGTTATTTGGTACGGAAAGAAGTGAATGTTTAAACAAATTTTTATCGTTTTATAGAAATGCTTCGAAATAATGTTGTCTATTTACTTTAAAAATTTTATATTCTTTTTATAAAAAAGGTATATATCGATTAAGAGAAATTAATTATAACTTTTCATATAAAAATGAGCATAACAAAGTTTTATTTTATTATTTTTTTTCCATCGTTTTTCCTCGCTGCTTTTTCTTCTTTTTCTATTAGTTTTACATATTTTTTAGGTTTAGTTTCATTTTAACACGTTGTATAGTATAGTCCGCCATTTTGTGATGAGAAATGAGGTTGTGTATAATTATTTTCAAAACAAAATTTTTAGCTATTTAATATCGCGATTAATTGCTGGAGGAAATATTAAACTAAAATAACTATTGATGGGGCTGATCGAATTCGGTGGCCGCAAGAAGCACCAGAAGAATCCATATGCTCTTAAAAATGCAAAATCACATATACCAAGATCTAATATGATTATGATGCCACGTCCAGTGATCTTGCATATGTTACATATCGTATCTTTTTTTTTTATGAAAGTTACATATCGTATCTTATCACCAAAGCACGAGCATGTTACGTATCTTGCATTGTTTTTGTCAATTTTTTTTTCTCATAAAAGAATCAGAATGTATATTTTGCACTAAATAATGTTATTGGCGTTGGTGAAGGGTACCTACCACACATCTTTATTCATTATCGCGTTGCTGCCTTTCTTTCGTTGGTCTATCATAACGGTGCTTTATGGGTGGGAATCTTTGTTTGGTCTCTTACTCGTCATTGTCATGGTTTCCATCACGTTTCCAACGTGTGTTCGTCCACTTCATCATCCACTCTCGGAGCCAATCATTTATGGAAGTGGAAAGAAACGATCTTTGGAATCGACCCTAACGATCTATGGAAGCATCACTAGAAGTGGATCCACTGCCTCAATGCACTGATAAGCAAGAACGTGTTCAAAGAGGAACACGATAGGATGGATGTTGTGCCAAAACAGCGCATATTAAACCACATATAAGCCTTTTCCTTACATCGTTGGCGTCAATCTTAAGCTTTCTAAGATGAACTTTGGTTCTGCTCTTATTGTGCCGAGGCAGGATCGATGTAGGTTCCTCACTTTTCATTTTATTCTCGACCGGAGTTCGATCATATAGCCAGGGGAAAGGGCCCGGGGGGTGTCACTCTTCAACTACGTTAACGAGCTCATACTCGACGAGGGATAGATTGTTGTCTTCTTTCACAGCGAAGCTCGCAGGTTCGGTTACCTCAACACGGCCCCACTTGTCTACGGCTACCCTCATCGATCCTTTGAACATTTCAATTTTCGCATTGCGTAGAATCACAGTGCTCCCTTCCTTCATTAGGTCCACTAGTAGCAAACAAATCCAAATATATATATCCCGTCAAAAAATGTTCTATGAATTCCAAACATCCAAGAAAATCTCTACAAGCAGCTGTTGATTACACACATATATATATATACCTTGGCCATTTCTAGCAGTAAAGATGACAAGTCCAGTCTCATCTCCGAGAAGGCATTCGGCAATGCGCATCTGGCGAACCTGAGAGCCATCAGCTCGACCTTTCGGCAGTACCATCTTCACGCTGACAACCTTCACCGTGAGAGTATGTCCATTAGTCCCTGGCCTTAGCCTTTCGATCTTTGTGAAAGCCGGCTTTCTCAAACCAGGCTTTGCGTCTGCCATTTTCGGATGGGAAAGCAGCCTACAGGGACTGAATCATAAAACAAAGAGACCACCAAATCAGTAAGAGACCACAGCTTCACTACTGAACAAGTTTCGCATTGCATCGTTTGTTCATTATGGAACTTTAAAAGAAGGCCAAAGCAAACAGCAGCATGTTACTGAACGATTCTAAGACCTTTCAACTTGTAGAGCTCCAACCACATGGTACATTTTTGCAGGGATCCAAATTCTCTGATATATATCCTATATATTTCTCTAATGAAGCATGATTCCCATTTCTCTAAGGCATACACGCCCACAGATCGTACATATTTACCAAATTTAATGACGAACCGGAACCTCATCGACAGCATCACCTCCTCCAGATTATATCAAACCTCTCGGAGTTGCTTTGACCAAAGTGTGCTAATTCTAATCCTGGTTGTTCTTTTGCCTTAGGAAAGGGATTGAATTCGGGAAAAAAAAATGAAGATTACATGCGTAACTCATCGAATGGGAAAACCCAAACGACAAATGAAGATTCACAACTTCTGACAGGAATGGGAACCAAAAATATCTCTGGGAAAGCTAGGGCATCATTGGATCATACCTTCGGATGACGGGAGAGAGGAGACACGAACGTGGAGATCCGTTTCACGTTAGATTTAGGTTTAGGTTTCTTCTTTTGTCGTGGACAGTCGATCGATCGACCTGTCACGCTGACCACAACTTCATTCGCAACCCTACACGTGTACAGATCGTGCGCATTTGCATAGTCTCCGTATAACAACCTCGGATTCAGCTCCAGTTCTCCTCGATCTTGTCATAACGGGCCGTCTTAGCCCAGCCCGATTCATATTTCGCCCCATTCATTTGGAATGTAAAACGACATGCCACGAGTCCTCTAATGGATCTCATATAAACGACCCAACAAAGATGGAAATATGGGCCTGTCTTGTGTAACTTGCGTGCGTATCAGGCTGTACAGTAGAGTCTTTTGTCCGAACAAACCAGATGGCAACGTTATTATTTTTTTTTTTTATTACGGAGGACATTAGCTGCTACCTTTCGGACAACTTGACTAGTTAAACCTCCAGTCCGGAAACAACCTTTGTATATGGATTATATAAACCCAGAAATTAACTCCCTTCCCATCAGCCAGAAATCGAACACTCTTACCTATCAAGAGTTACCTCCAAGCTCAAGTTTGACCACTCGCTCACGATCTGTTACACTTTATTTATTTGTAAAGTATTGTTATTGGGTATGAAGAATAATGATTATTTCAAATCAAAGTCTCTGAATTGTCCAAAGATCTTCCAAAGTCTCTGAATTGCATGAATCCCAGGAACAAAAGAAGAAACCTTTTTTCACAAAGGTTTGATTAGGAAACGAGAGTAGCAGCAGCGTTTGCTTACACCTTATTTTATATTTTTGGAAGGAGAAAGGAAGATCAAAAGGAAAAGGAAGGGGAGGTCTTGAAGTCGAGCTCCCAGAGCTCAAAGGTTCCATTGACGAAATCGTAGTGAGCTCCTCTTATGGAAAGTGTGTTCTTCACCACTCCCTCTCTCACAAATGGGTACGACAGTAGATTCCCCAGCGACACGTTCACCGCTTCCTGCGTGTTTTGTTTTTTGGGAGCTCTTATCATCTATATACAGACAAGAGATGCACGAAAGAG